ACATCACTAATGACATAAATAAATATAAAGTTTTATTAAAGCTAGTAGCTGATAAAAACCTTCCAAATGCTCAGCATGAATATGCATTATCACTTTTAACTACTAATGGAAAAATATTACCTGATCTTAAAGAAGAATTTCTTAAGTATCTTAGCAAAGCAAATGACAGAAATTACATTCCATCTATGTATCTTTTAGATAAATTTTATTATAATGAAGAAAAACATTTATTGAAAAAAGCTAGTAAGCTAGGAAGTAATGAAGCAACAGAATTATAGTTCAATATTAATAATCAAGAAAAAAAAACCAGAAAAGTACTTTAAACCGTAGAAATTAGTTATCCTCACATGCTTGTTTAATGTAATAGTTTTTAAAATCATAATGTCGGAATTTAAAAAAATATGAGAAACGCTAACATAACTCATATAATGTTTTCTTAATATAAGATCTAGTGAAGATTCTTTTTTTTTTTTAGCCCCATTATAATGAGAATAAGTTATATTTTCTGTGAAGTATTAAAATCACATGTTTATTATTAGCAATCAGGTATTTGTTTATTTTATTAGTAAATATAAGTTATATCTTATTTAAACAAGTGTAAAAAAGCATTTTATTTATGCAATATCTGATATATAAATTACAAAATGACAAAAAAAAAATAAAAAAAATAACAAAAAAATAAAAAAAATAAAAATCAAATTTTCAGAATGAAATATTATGTGCAATTCTGCGCAGATAATCTATAAGAGATTGATTTTGACGATTATTAAATACAATCTGAATACGTTGTTCGCGCTCAATAGTATGCCTTCTTTGTGGTGGCCTTGGCGCGATGGCTTCGATGTTAAGCTAAATCTGGTTCTGCTCCTTCTGAATTTTTCTTATAAGTTTAAAAACTCCCATGTGCGCACACCTACCAATGTGTCCCACCTCCTATGCCACACCTCAACAATATTCTGCGTTCTAGGATAAGCAAATTCAATGTTGTCGACCACCGACCAAAAGTTAGAAGGAAAAGAGAGCTCAAACCTAACTACGTTACCATTTTTATACACATGCCTTACTCTGCCATGCACATAATTGTCTTGAAACCATTGAACAATATTATCGGCTTTGGGTAGAATGTTAGTTTTTAGTTCATCAAATGCTTGAGGTATTTCACTATGAGGTAAGAACGCGAGAGCAGGAATGTGTCTTATAAACAAGCTAAACTCTTCATTTGTCCCATATCGCGCAGCAAGCCCAGACACCTAGATTCTGCGGTAGACACTTTGTGCCAAGTAGAAATGACAACCCTTGCATTGAACGTCTTCAAACTCTAACTGGATGGCATTTATTGCGGCTGATTCGAAATCTGTCAAAACTATTTGCGGATGCGATTTAATACCATTCTCCGCACCGAAATCTATTAATCCTTGAAACACTCTCCTGTAAAGCTCTTTGGACTTGCTAGTCATCAAAACAAAAACTAGGGTCATAATTCTCGAATTATCATTTCTGCCAACACATCTTAAACAGAATCATTCACACTATAATTAAAATATAGTGCCTGCCATTGCAACTTGTATAATTTTGTGAATTTGTTAACAAATTCATACAATTATACAAGTTGAAATTACCGTAAATTCTCGAAATAGCGAGTATGGGCATTGTTTCAAAATTTGGCTAGAATTAAGTTTAATTCAAACCAAAATTCGAAATAATACCCATGCCTGCTATTTCGAGAATTTACAATAAAAAAAATAAATAAATATTAAAAAAATACCGTGAATAGTATATAATTGTCTAAACATGTTAGGGACCATCTTAAAGGTCTCGTCCATGGCCCAAAACGGAGATCGACTCAGATGGCGCACATTATCAACGGTTGTAAAGATTAGAATTCTACCTTGACCTACGTTAGTATCATTAATTAAAAAATTATGCCCACTTAAAGTTGTTCGCATAGTTTGAGGAATAACCAAATTTTCTAGAGATAGTAGTTTAGTAGGAAGATCAAGGTGTCGAATTCTCTGGATAGTTTGGCGAATTGCATTGGTAGATAGAAGATATTGATAAAGTGGGGATTGTCGGTGACAACGTCTTGCACTATTTGTGAGGGCTTGTCATTAGATCATTGTGCTTGTTCTTTGATTTTAGCAATCGTTTTTACAACATGTAACCAGCTTGCATCTGCTGCATGATTGTGGTCTGACCAACTTTGGAGATAATGTTTATTGTTAACTAATTTGGTTACAGCATGCCCGATACATTGTAGTAGACTCCTCTTTTCGCAGTTCTAATAGAATGTGTTTTTTCGACTCTTATCCTTAGTCATCAAATAACTATAAACATTAATTTTATCCTTGCTGTGAGTAGACGGGACGACTTCACAAATAATGCTATTCATTTTGGGGTGCAAATAAGAATAAATGATAATAATAGTTAAAGATAAATAATAATAATAAGAAAAGAAAAAAAAAAATTAAAAGAATATTATTCAACAAATTTTACAAAAAGTCAATAAGTTGTAAGTTTCAGTTACTTTGTGCAAAGGACTATTTATAAATTCACATTATGTTACGATGGATTTTTAATTTATACCTAAAGAAGAAAAGCTATTGATATTACGCTCATATGTGAAAATCAACAATTTAATTTTAAAGCATTTTACGTGTGGAAATATAAAAAAGTGAGTAGTTGTCGTGGAGTTAAGTAGTAGCCAGTGCTACTACAAGTTTAACTAAGTACAGCTTTCTTTGCTGTAACAGAACGAATACCAAAGCTTTGGTGTATTCGTTAGGTATGTATATGCTTTATTATGTATTGTATCCTTGAAGAGCAAAAGACTAACTTCCTTTATTTACTTTCTTTGACACTATATATTTCTTTCAAATTATATCATTTACGTCATTCACCCATCATACTCTCTTTTACTATCTTTAACTCTGTTATTAATAATCATGCCATATCGATAGACCCGACTTCGATTCAATCCTCTATATTCTTGCCATGAATATTCCCAATACCATCACGTGTATTATGTGGGTCTTTTACTTTATATTTTTGATCTTTATTATAACTCTTCGCTTTACTAACCCAATCGTCTAACTCTTCGATTACATATACCTTTTTATCATCCACCAACATGCCCGAACCAAATACAAGGGCTGTTTCGAAACTATATGACAGTAATGTAAAATAATCAAAGTACTAAAGAAAGAAATTAAGTTGTATCTGAAGAAGATAAAGTAAATAGAAGCCACTGATATTGCACTCACGCGTGAAAATTAACAATTCAAATTTAATGCATTTTACACGTGGATATATAAAAAAAATAGAAGTCTAAAATTAAAAATGCTAATATCAGTGGCTTTTCATTTACTTTCCTTCTTCAGATACAAATTAATTTTTTTTTATGGCATTTTGATTATTTTATACTGCTCACTTTTTCATATGCCCACACGTAAAATACTTTAAAATTAAATCGTTGATTTTCACACACGAGCATATATGAAAAAGTGAGCAGTGTAAAATAATCAAAATGCTATAAAAAGAAATTAATTTGTATCTGAAGAAGGAAAGTAAATAGAAGCCATTAATAGTGCCTCGCGCATAAAATATTTTAAAATTAAAATGCTTATTTTACACATGAATACAATGCTAATTACTTTCATTGTGCTTTTCCTTCTTCATATTTTAACTACCTTCTTTTTATGCTCTATTTAGCAAATACTGTGCATCGCCAATAATGAATTACCGAATAAAGGCATTTTATATGAAGATCAATATTTTTTATTGATGACAAATTAATTTAACTCTTTTAGAAATAATCAAAA